TCTTGTATCGTATACAACTTCAAACGACTCTCAAAGAACGCAATGTAGCGTAATAGTTAATAGGAAGAATAAATCGCTTTTGAAATAATTAATAGATTTCCCAGTCCGGGAGTCGAACCCGGGCCTTGTGGGTGAGAGCCACAAATCCTGACCGCTAGACCAACTGGGATTTTAAACTTATTTGTATTTTTTTCGAATAAAGTGAGCGCCTTAATGGCACGTTTTTCTATTTGAAGATAAACACGCACAAGCTTTCTGCTCTGATCGATTCATGAAGTTTTTCAACATTTTAAGTTCTTGTAACCTATACAACTTCAAAGAAGTTTTTAAGAACTCAATTGAGCGTAATAGTTAAAAGGGAGAAAAAATCAAATAAAAAGCTAATAGACTTCCAAGTCCGGGAGTCGAACCAGGTCCTTGTGGGTTAGAGCCAGAAATTCTGACCGCTAGACCAACTGGGATATTAATGTTAATTGTGTTTTTTTCGAATAAAGTGCGCGCCTCAATGGCACGTTTTTCTATTTGAAGATAAACACGCACAAGTTTTCTGCTCTGATCGATCTATATTTTTTTTCAACAATTTAAAATCTTGTATCGTATACAACTTCAAAGGACTCTCAAAGAACTCAATTTAGCGTAATAGTTAATAGGAAGAATAAATCGATTTTGAAATAATTAATAGATTTCCCAGTCCGGGAGTCGAACCCGGGCCTTGTTGGAGAGAGCCACAAATCCTGACCGCTAGACCAACTGGGATTTTAAACATATTTGTATTTTTTTTCGAATAAAGTGAGCGCCTTAATGGCACCTTTTTCTATTTGAAGATAAACACGCACAAGTTTTCTGCTCTGATCGATTCATGAAGTTTTTCAACATTTTTAGTTCTTGTAACCTATACAACTTCAAAGAAGTTTTTAAGAACTCAATTGAGCGTAATAGTTAAAAGGGAGAAAAAATCAAATAAAAAGCTAATAGTTTTCCCTGTCCTGGAGTCGAACCAGGTCGTTGTGGGTTAGAGCCAGAAATTCTGACCGCTAGACCAACTGGGATAGTAATGTTAATTGTGTTTTTTTTTCGAATAAAGTGCGCGCCTCAATGGTACGTTTTTCTATTTGAAGATAAACACGCACAAGTTTTCTGCTCTGATCGATCTATATTTTTTTTCAACATTTTAAAATCTTGTATCGTATACAACTTCAAAGGACTCTCAAAGAACTCAATTTAGCGTAATAGTTAATAGGAAAAATAAATCGTTTTTTAAATAATTAATAGATTTCCCAGTCCGGGAGTCGAACCCGGGCCTTGTGGGTGAGAGCCACAAATCCTGACCGCTAGACCAACTGGGATTTTAAACTTATTTGTATTTTTTTCGAATAAAGTGAGCGCCTTAATGGCACGTTTTTCTATTTGAAGATAAACACGCACAAGTTTTCTGCTCTGATCGATTCATGAAGTTTTTCAACATTTTAAGTTCTTGTAACCTATACAACTTCAAAGAAGTTTTTAAGAACTCAATTGAGCGTAATAGTTAAAAGGGAGAAAAAATCAAATAAAAAGCTAATAGACTTCCCAGTCCGGGAGTCGAACCAGATCCTTGTGGGTTAGAGCCAGAAATTTTGACCGCTAGACCAACTGGGATATTAATATTAATTGTGTTTTTTTTTTCGAATAAAGTGCGCGCCTCAATGGCACGTTTTTCTATTTGAAGATAAACACGCACAAGTTTTCTGCTCTGATCGATCTAAGAAGTTTTGCAACATTTTAAGTTCTTGTATTTTATACAACTTCAAAGAGCTCTTAAACGATTCAACTGAGCGTAATAGTTAAAAGGAAAAAGAAATTTATTTAAATTTTTGTTTATAGATTTCCCATTCCGGGAGTCGAACCCGTGTCTTGTTGATGAAAGCTACAAATCCTAACCGCTGGACCAACTACAATAGCAAGTTTTAATGTGATTATTTTTCGAATACTGTGAGCTCCTAATTGGCACGTTTTTCTGTTGAAGATAAACATGCACAAGTTTTCTGCTCTTATCGATTCATGAAGTTCAAAGAACTCTCAAAGAACTCAATTGAGCGTAATAGTTAATAGGAAGAAAAATTCAATTAAAAAATTAATAGACCTCCCAGTCCGGGAGTCGAACCCGGGCCTTTCAGGTGAGAGCCACAAATCCTCACCGCTAGACCAACTGGGATGTTAAATTTACTTGTATTTTTTTGATTAAAGTGAGCGCCTTAATGGCACGTTTTTCTATTTGAAGATAAACACGCACAAGTTTTCTACTCTGATCGATTCATGAAGTTTTTCAACATTTTAAGTTCTTGTAACCTATACAACTTCAAAGAAGTCTCTAAGAACTCAGTTAAAAGGGAAAAAAAATCAAATAAAAGCTAATAGACTTTCCAGTCCGGGAGTCGAACACGGTCCTTGTGGGTTAGAGCCAGAAATCATGACTGCTAGACCAACTGGGATATTAATGTTAATTGTATTTTTTTTCGAATAAAGTGAGCGCTTCAATGGCACGTTTTTCTATTTGAAGATAAACACGCACAAGTTTTCTGCTCTGATCGATCCAAGATGTTTTGCAACATTTTAAGTTCTTGTATCCTATACAACTTCAAAGAGCTCTTAAACGATTCAATTGAGCGTAATAGTTAATAGGAAGAAAAAATCAATTAAAAAATTAATAGAGTTCCCAGTCCGGGAGTCGAACCCGGGCCTTGTGGGTGAGAGCCACAAATCTTGACCGCTAGACCAACTGGGATATTAATGTTAATTGTATTTTTTTTCGAATAAATTGATCGCCTCAATGGCACGTTTTTCTATTTGAAGATAAACACGCACAAGTTTTCTGCTCTGATCGATCTAAGAAGTTTTGCAACATTTTAAGTTCTTGCATCCTATACAACTTCAAAGAGCTCTCAAAGAACTCAATTGAGCGTAATAGTTAATAGGAAAAGAAATTCATTTAAATTTTTTTTATAGATTTCCCATTCCGGGAGTCGAACCCTTGTCTTGTTGGTGAATAGCGCAAATCCTAACCACTGGACCAACTGCAATATCAAATTAAATGTGATTTTTTTTCGAATACAGTGAGCGCCTAATTGCACGTTTTTCTGTTTGAAGATAAACACGCACAAGTTTTCTGCTCTAATCGATTCATGAAGTTTTTCAACTTTTTAAGTTCTTGTAACCTATACAACTTCAAATAACTCTCTAAGGATTCAATTATGCGTAATTGGCATAAGGAAGAAAAAATCAATAAAAAAATTAATAGACTTCCTAGTCCGGGAGTCGAACCCAGGCCTTGTGGGTGATAGACACAAATCCTGACCGCTAGACCAACTGGGCTATTTGAGTTTCTTTTTTCGAGCCCCAAATCCTGACCGCTAGACCAACTGGGCTATTTGTATTTTTTTCGAATAAAGTGAGCGCCTTAATGGCACGTTTTTCTACTTGAAGATAAATACGCACAACGCCGAACACGGGCCATGTGGGTGAGAGCCACAAATCCTGACCGCTAGACCAACTGGGCTATTTGTATTTTTTTTTTCGAATAAAGTGAGCGCCTTAATGGCACGTTTTTCTATTTGAAGATAAACACGCACAAGTTTTCTGCTCTGATCGATCCAAGAAGTTAATAGGAAGAAAAAATCAATTAAAAAATTAAATGACTTCCCAGTCCGGGAGTCGAATCCGGGCCTTGTGGGTGAGAGCCACAAATCCAACTGGGCTATTTGTATTTTTTTTTTCGAATAAAGTGAGCGCTTTAATGGCACGTTTTTCTATTTGAAGATAAACACGCACAAGTTTTCTGCTCTGATCGATCCAAGAAGTTAATAGGAAGAAAAAATCAATTTTTCGAATAAAGTGAGCGCCCTAATGGCACGTTTTTCTATTTGAAGAAAAAAACACGCACAAGTTTTCTGCTCTGATCGATCCAAGAACTTAATAGGAAGAAAAAATCAATTAAAAAAATAACAGACTTCACAGTCCGGGAGTCGAACCCGGGCCTTGTGGTTGAGACTTCCTAGTACGGGAGTCGAATCCGGGCCTTGTGGGTGAGAGCCACAAATCCAACTGGGCTATTTGTATTTTTTTTTCGAATAAAGTGAGCGCCTTAATGGCACGTTTTTCTATTTGAAGATAAACACGCACAAGTTTTCTGCTCTGATCGATCCAAGAAGTTAATAGGAAGAAAAAATCAATTTTTCGAATAAAGTGAGCGCCCTAATGGCACGTTTTTCTATTTGAAGAAAAAAACACGCACAAGTTTTCTGCTCTGATCGATCCAAGAACTTAATAGGAAGAAAAAATCAATTAAAAAAATAACAGACTTCACAGTCCGGGAGTCGAACCCGGGCCTTGTGGTTGAGACTTCCTAGTACGGGAGTCGAACCCGGGCCTTGTGGGTGAGAGCCACAAATCCTGACCGCTAGACCAACTAGGCTATTTGTATTTTTTTTTCGAGCCACAAATGCTGACCGCTAGATCAACTGCGCTAATTGTTTTTTTTCGAATAAAGTGAGCGCCCTAATGGCACGTTTTTCTATTTAAAAATCAATAGACTTCACAGTCCGGGAGTCGAACCCGGTCCTTGTGGGTGAGACTTACCAGTCCGGGATTCGAACCCGGTCCTTGTGTGTGAGAGCCGCAAATCCTGACCGCTAGAGCAACTGGGCTATTTGTTTTATTTTTCGAACAAAGTATTTTGTATTTTTTTTTCGAATAAAGTGAGCGCCTTAATGGCACGTTTTTCTATTTGAAGATAAACACGCACAAGTTTTCTGCTCTGATCGATCCAAGAAGTTAATAGGAAGAAAAAATCAATTTTTCGAATAAAGTGAGCGCCCTAATGGCACGTTTTTCTATTTGAAGAAAAAAAAACGCACAAGTTTTCTGCTCTGATCGATCCAAGAACTTAATAGGAAGAAAAAATCAATTAAAAAAATAACAGACTTCACAGTCCGGGAGTCGAACCCGGGCCTTGTGGTTGAGACTTCCTAGTACGGGAGTCGAACCCGTGCCTTGTGGGTGAGAGCCACAAATCCTGACCGCTAGACCAACTAGGCTATTTGTATTTTTTTTCGAGCCACAAATGCTGACCGCTAGATCAACTGCGCTAATTGTTTTTTTTCGAATAAAGTAAGCGCCCTAATGGCACGTTTTTCTATTTAAAAATCAATAGACTTCACAGTCCGGGAGTCGAACCCGGTCCTTGTGGGTGAGACTTACCAGTCCGGGATTCGAACCCGGGCCTTGTGTGTGAGAGCCGCAAATCCTGACCGCTAGAACAACTGGGCTATTTGTTTTATTTTTCGAACAAAGTATTTTGTATTTTTGTTTCGAAAAAAGTGAGCGCCTTAATGGCACGTTTTTCTATTTGAAGATAAGCACGCACAAATTTTCTGCTCTGATCTATCCAAGAAGTTAATACGCAGAAAAAATCAATTAAAAAATTAATAGACCTCTCAGTCCCGGAGTCGAACCCGGTCCTTGTGCGTGAGAGCCACAAATCCTGACCGCTAGACCAACTGGGATTTTAATTTTATTCGTATTTTAATTTTATTTGTATTTTTTTTCGAGCGCCTTACTAGTGAGTGTAGTCGCTTCAATTGACAAAATTAAGAATATTTTACCTAATAGAGACCATTTTAATCCTGTAAATGTAAATATAGTAGATAGACCGTCGGTCGCTGTAAATATTTATACACTCGTTAATAATATTATCTCGTTTGGAGAAGAAGCTCAAGCGATTTGATGGGTCAAGATTCTTTGTATAGCTCTTTAGTTAATTTCAAGCTCAAAGTTTTTGTCGCTATTATATCTTGTATTGCTCAGTCAATAAAATATTGCGATAATATTTCGCAGATAATGTCTTTTTACATTTCATCTTTAAAAATAAACATTTAGTTCCTAAAAAAAATAAAACTTTGATATAATAAAATTGGAGGATATTACCGGCCCTCTAATTATAAAGCCTGATGAACACAATATTACCTTAAAATTTGAAGATGACCATACTCCAGACGACCATGCAAACTTACTGAAGAGATTTAAAGCCGACCTAAACCTACCCAATTCTCCGATATTCCCCGAAGATCACTGTTCCAAGAAACTTTCACAACTAATGACGAGAGAAGACAAAGTTATTTGGGATTTGATTGACACAATAAAAACCAAACGGCCAATGTACATTCACAGAACATATATGAAAAACCTTCTCGAAGGACCTTCACGTGAAAGATGATTTATTTTTCCTGGGTAAAAAATTAGTCGTGCCGGCAACTATTAGGGGAACCTTCACCGCAATGCTACACAAGACACACCCAGGCCAATTCGGGATGAAGTTTCTCGCGGAATACATTTGGTGGCCTCATACCTACCGAGAGACATATCATCACGGTAAGTCTTGTAATCAAATCCTGAAAGCCGGTAAGAGCCTCAAAGTTTTGCTAGGTACCGACCATACTACAAATTTACCGACATTGACGTTTGCGAACGAGGAGATAAACCTGGACTTCGCAGGAACTTCGGACGCGTTTTGGGGAACAAAAAAAATACATTCTCTTATGCGTTGACCGCCTCAATAAGTTCCCATTGGCCAAGGTAGTAAACAAAACTTCTTCAGACACGGTTATCTCATTTTTGAACGATTATTGTTACCTTCACGAATTGCCAAGGAAGATTAGAGTCGACCACGGGTCATGTTTTTTATCACACGATTTTAAAAACTTCTGCAAAAATTACAACTTTGAATACATTTACTGTACAATCGGCGATCATAGATCTAATGGGCTTGTGGAAAGACTGGTTTACACTGTAAAGTCTAAATTATTAGCCATGTCATTTGATTTACCAAAACCTTCCTCGATCGAAAAAATTATCTGGAACCTTAGAATCAAAAAATCAATCTACAATCGGTTGTACTCCGTTCGAGAAACACTTTAATAGAACGGCTAACACTAGTTTGAAAAATCTGATTTCCTTTAATAATCGCTTAGATGAAGGGAAATCGATTCTATCTTACCGACGGGCCAGAAACTGGGAATTGCACGACGGTGGGGAAGACGGTTATCTTGACGCGGACATGGACACTCAATCAGACGACCTGTAGTTGCCGGCACGACTAATTTATTACCCAGGAATAATAAATCATCTTTCACGTGAAGGTCCTTCGAGAAGGTTTTTCATATATGTTCCGTGAATGTCCATTGGCCGTTTGGTAGTTATTGTGTCAATCAAGTCCCAAATAACTTTGTCTTCTCTCGTCATCAGTTGTAAAAATTTCTTGGAACAGTGATCTTCGGGGAATATCGGAGAATTGGGTAGGTTTAGGTCGGCTTTAAATCTCTTCAGTAAGTTTGCATGGTCGTCTGAAATATGGTCATCTTCAAATTTTTTAGGTAATATTGTGTTCTTCAGGCTTTATAATTAGAGGGCCGATAATATCCTCCAATTTTAAGATATCAAAGTTTTATTTTTTTTAAAAATTAAATGTTTATTTTTAAAGATGAAATGTAAAAAGACATTATCTGCGAAATTTTATCGCAATATTTTATTGACTGAGCAATACAAGATATAATAGCGACAAAAAAATTGAGCTTGAAATTAACTAAAGAGCTATACAAAGAATCTTGACCAATCAAATCGCTTGAGTTTCTTCTCAAAACGAGATATTTTTATTAACTAGTGTATAAATATTTACAGCGACCGACGGTCTATCTACTATTTTTACATTTACAGGATTAAAATGGTCTCTATTAGATAAAATATTCTTAATTTTGTCAATTGAAGCGACTACAAAATCTTCGTCGTAGTAAGACGGTGGAAGGGCTTTGCCCGATGGTAATCTAGACAAAAGGTCAGTAAAACCCATATCTTTTCCTGGGATGTGGGAAACTTTAAAATTAAAAGGTAACAATCTGTTTACTTAACGGGTCAATCGGCTATGCATACTCTTATTTGCGTGGTTAGCCGAAAGAGCCGAGAGTAAGGCTTTATGGTCCGTAAAGATTGCGAGTTCTGCCCCGTAAATGTAATTTCTAAATTGTTCTAAGGCCCACACCATGCCCAGTATTTCTAATTCGTTCGTAGAATTTTTCATTTCATGATTATTTAAAAACCTTGATGCGAAAGCAATCGTTTTCCACTGCATCCTTGAAGCTGTTCTAAAATTGCGGCCAGGCCGCTATGTGATGCGTCCGTTTTTAACCTGGTTTTTTCTTTTATAACGAAGTGGCTGTTTTCTGTAATAATCACAACTTCGGTTTTTAGTTATTCGAAGGCTGAGGAGTGATTATTGTCCCATTTATATACAGATTTTTTGTTTAACAGAGGATGTAGTGGGGAACTTAAAGTTGATAAGTTCGGAACAAATTTTACATACTGGTTTTTGGAGCCGAAGAATCATCGCAGTTCCGAAATGTTCTTGGGGATTGGTAAATTCTTGATAGCATCTGTTTTATCGACCAACGGTCGTACTCCCTCTCCCGAAATTTTGAAGCCTAGCTATTGTACTTCAGGTTTGAAGAATTGGCATTTCCCTCATTTCACCACCATATTATTCTTGTCCAGAATTGTTAGGATTTTATAGACTATTGATTTATGTTCCTCCAGAGATCCCTTCCATGCTACCAGTATATCGTCTCTATGTAACAATTTGTGAACGGAATGTTCTTTAAAAGTGAGTCCATGACCCGTTGAAATTCATTGGGCATATCACCCAGTCCAAAAAGTCTAGTTAAAAATTGATATGTTACCGTTGTTTCGCCGCCCACGATACTGAAATTACATTGTTTACTCATTTTCTCGCACAATTTAAATTGAGTATATGCGTTTTTCAGATCCAAGTTGCTAAACCAGACTTGTCCATTGGGTTTTTCTGAGATTTGTAAGGCCACGTTGTCTATGAGTTCGTGAATATTTGGCATTTGATTTTTGTTTTTAAAAATCTAGTCATTTAAAAATTTAGAATCTAATGCCAATTTAATCAAACCGTCTCTCTTCCGGGTTATAACAATCGGGCTGATAAAACAATCTTCGTCACCTTTTTCAAGTTTTATAATGTGACCCACGGTCTCCACTCTTCATTTACTCCCGCAAGTAAGAGTAAGGGAACTCTTATCCCTTTTGCCTGTAGCTGTTTAAACGGGGAATGGAAGTGTGTGACCTTGTGATCGTTAGGGATTTTTCCCACTCGGGAGAATAGTTCTTTCAACTTAATAAAATTTTGTCATTTGTTGAATGAGACTTTATCCACTTAATCTCGAATGATGGTTGGGCGACTGTGCAAATCGGCTGGGGGTATTTCTTCTGTTTCACTTCGATGCCTAACTTAGGTAAGTTATCGTTATCCAAAATGTTGCGTTCATGACCACCAGTGATAAACAACGGCGTTTCTTCACTGATCCACCCGTTGGATTGTGTCCTAACGATGATCTTTACTAAGATGTTGATGGTATCGCCTGGGAAGCCGCAATACAGGTCTTTAATACTCTTCTTCATTCGGTAGCTCGTGGAACACGTTTTGTTTCAAAAAGCTTACAGGGCTCGCTGAGTCTACCGGGATATTCATGTTCACGATCATTTCCCATCCCAAACCTATATTTAACAGTTTCTTGTTTTCCAGCCCATTTCGATCGTAGATTGTTCTAACGCTCAGCACTGAGAAACCGTCGTCGTCACTCTGTCCGCATTCGTTCCAGGCGTTTATCACATCGCACGTTTCTTGATTTTCACCCCCATGAACTTTCCGGAGAGACGTATGCATAATTCTCAATATTTACATAGCTATCATTTACAGTATTTATAGTAGGTCGTTTGTTACGAGATTTACATTATTTAGCGAAGTGTCCTTTTTAGTTACAATTTTTACATGTTATGTTCTTCGCTGGGCATACGTTTAGATGTCCTTTCGTAAACGGGTTCCCACATTTCATGCACGCGTTACTTTTTTGTAAGTTGAGGCTTGGTTCTTTCTTGATCTGATTGTGACAGTTAAAAGACTTGAAAACTGGACCATTGGTCGACGATCGCGCCATGTTGGTCAGTTTTTGATGGTTAAATTACC